CCCTATCCATTACTCCATAAGATTTTCTTGCCCCTCAGTAGATTCTAGATCAAGAGAGATCCTGCCCAGTTCTGCAGTGCAGAGACTTGAGAATAGATGCATAATTTGTGAGACTTATCACAAAACTAAAATGTTGGACTCCTTGTTTAAAAAAATTAAGTGGTTCTGGTCCTATGGCTCCTTGTTAAGGGAGCTGAATACCACATGGCCAGCTGCAATTCGAATCCTGTCTTGGATGGTTAGAAAAACATGCCAGGCACATATCCCTGCAAGATGGAGACATGGAGAAGGCATTGTGGTGTGACCACGCCCCTTTGCGGGGTGCTTTCCTTCTCTTCTTTCTATTTGTCTCTCTCTGATGAACATACATGCCTTTTGACTTAAGAACAAATAAACAAAAACCCAAAAAGCAAACAATTGTCCCTTTTTCTCCAAGAAGGTGACAGAAGAGCCGTAAACTAGGCAAAGAAGCCTTCTGAGCATAGGCCCTTTGTGCCAGAACAGATTTCACAAGGCTGGCCTTGAAGAGAAGAAAGGAATGTTTCCTTTACCTTCAATACACTCTTTTGCCCTGACAGAATGAAATAGCGTAGAGAAATTCTGTAGAACAATGACATGACTTATGGAAGGGAAGAAATGCTAGGAGTACAAGCTGGAGAAAAACAGTGTTTTGTGGCTATCAGAAGCTCTCACCACACCCATGGGTGTGATAGGTGACGACAGGTAGCCGAAGGTGCTCTCAGCGAGCTGTGCCCCTGGTACGTGCTCCTCTCCTAGTTTCCTCCCAATGGATTGGCAGTCCAGGCTGGCCTGTGACTCGTGCAGACAGTAAACGCAATGGAAGTCAGGCTGCCCAAGTTCTAGCTCCTGCTTCCCACCTCTAAAACTCTTGCTTTTGGGAGCCTGTACCACCAGTTCTCTGTGGTTATTTTGTTCTCTTCCATGTTAATAACCATTAACCATGCACGTCAGCTCTGTAGCCAGTCCCAAGCAGATTAGGGTGCACTCACAAGTACAGCGGGGCTACTGGACACAAGTGCGAACTTATTTTTTTGAGAGAGACTTTAGCTATAAGGTGCATGTACTTGCTGGACAGACAGACAGACAGAAAGTGAGAAATCTCCTCCTCCCCCTCCCTCCCCAGGAATGGCCATGCCACAATCTCCTCCATTCTCCTCTTGGGATTTTGGTCATGCACACACGTTTTTGGCATGAGTTTAAAGATGCTGAGGGTCCAGGACTTGAACCACGGTTAACTATGGGAGAGTCCAGCAACATAATTATTACACCATCTGCTGGTCCTGCACATTTATTTCTTTATTCATAAAGAGTCAGAAAAATTATAGTAATATAGGGAAGAGAGTATTTTAAGCACGTATTTTCTATAATAAGATTGTAAAGAACAAACCATTTAAAAATCTCATTTTTTATCATTTTTCATCCTTTGCTTTTAAATTTTATATATATGTATAAATAATATCTGTGTAATTCAAGTTCTTCTTATTATTTTCATTATTATTTTTTAACTTGACCAGAGAGAGAGAGGGGAAAGCAAGAAAGCAAGCTGCTGGGTCCAGGACTCGAACCATGGTCAGCCATGTGGGAATCCAGTGCCCTTAGCCACCACACCATATTCTGGCCCTAAATCATGTATTGTTAAAGGAAAAATGTAGAAATGAATGTTATCCAGTTCTATAAATGGTTTTAAAAAGTAATATCTATTTTAGTAATGCATATAGTATTTAAAGAGCTACAATGGGACCAGCAGTTAGCGTAATGGCTATGTTGCTGGACTCCCACGTAGTTGACCGCAGTTCGTGTCCCGGATCCGGTGACTTAAAACTCACGCTGGGCGTGTGTGCATACATGCCCAAGATCCTGAGAGGAGAATGGAGGAGAAGGGACTGCGGTGTGGCCATCCCCCCAGGGGGTGATTTCTTGCTTTCTGTCTCTCTGTCTTTCTCTGTCTGTCTGGCAAGCACACGTGCCCTATAGCAAAAACCTTAAAAAAAAAAAAAAAAAAAGAGCTACAATGAAGCATTTTAATTATATGAATACTACAATATTTGTAATCATTGTGAAATATGGAGCAATTCATGTTGGATCTTGATATTTTCTCATATATAATTGAATAATAAAGAAATACTAGCCACCATGTCATTTAATGGTTGTAGAGAGTTACATTATAAAAATTTCTTCTACAAGAATTTATTCTCTAATAGAAAAAAAAGAAAAAGAATTAGTGGAAAATTGTTAACATTTAAAATAGCCGTGAAATACACTGTCCACTCTAAGTGTTTGCGATCTTAAAGAGTCTCTTTTCTTCTGGAATATTCAGTTCTAGTAAATATCACAGCCAAAGAGTTCCAGGCGAAGTGCGATGCTTTGATTCCATGTTTTAGGGATGATGCGGACAAACCTGGAAATGATCGGTGGATTGAAAAAGTTCTTTACGTGTCCTTTGACATTACTGTTGCCTTCAAAAACCTGAAAGCAAAATGTGAGAAAATCTTTAATGATGGCGTAATGGGTATACAAATTTCCTAGATAATTTCTTTTCCAATCTTTTTAACTCAAACCGAGGGCATCACAGAAACACATACAGCACTATCACTGAGGGGCTTCGAGCAGCTAGGAGATCGCGTGCCAGGTAGATTCCATGAGGGATTCTATTTTATACGTGATTGGAGTCAAATTAAAACAGACAGCCAAGGGGTTGAAAAAGAGAGAGATGAATTCTAATTGATTGAGAAAAGTGAGCATTTGATGAGAAGTCAGTGAACATCTGTTCTTGTCTCCTATTTGTTCTCCTACTGGCTTTAGCCCAATTCCCTTCCCTGGAATACTAGGCATATCTAGCGTTTCTTCTGGTTGCATTTTTAAACCACATAACATGGACTTAGAAAAATTTAGGAATTTAATGGAGTCATTTATCTCACAAGAAATCCTAGTCTTCCCTCTGTGAAAGACCAGTTGTTTGCTGTTTAATAACTACGACCTAGAGGGACCAGCAGTTGGCATAATGGTTACATCACTGGACTCCCATGTAGTCAACCACAGTTCAAGTTCTGGACCTGTTGCTTAAAATTCATGCCAGGCACGTGTGCATGTGTGCCAAACTCCCTAGAGGAAAATGGAGAAGAAGGGATTGAGACTTGCCCATCCCCTCTGGGGAATGATTTCTTGCTTTCTGTCTCTCCGTTTTTCTCTTGGTCTCTCCAGCAAATGTACATACCCTATAGCAAAAATCTCTCTAAAATAATAATAATGATGAATTAATTAACTATGACCTAAAATGCTGTATGAATGGACAGTCATGAATAACTAGTATACTTAAGGCAATGCTAACACAGAGATACTTCATAGTGGAAAGATTTCTGGATCCCTTCACCATCATTCTCAACCAGAGCTAATTAAGCCTCACAGCATCAGCTGGTGTTTTGACCTCATATTTCACAGATGGCTCAGCCAAAGCAGAAAGATGCCATGCATAGTCCCTGCCCCAAGCCCAGGCATCTGCAGACCGGGACTTGGAAGACTCAAGGAGGGAGAATGTTCCAGTGCATCTCTGTCACATACTCTCAGCGCAGCACAGTTTCACAGGTTTTCTCTTTGCCAAAACGCCACACCGTACCTGGTCCACCATGGAGGACTTATGCCTATACGGTTTCCATTCCACTCCTTGGTCACTATAGTGGATGGTGTAGCTCTTGACGTACATTTCAGAGGACAGAGACTTACAGCCCTGGGTGATGATCGCAGTTATTTTCTTGATTTTCAGCAGATCAATTTGTAGCCATTGTTTGTTGTTGTTTGCCTGTGAAAATGATAAACATACAGAAAAGGAAGATGTCAGAACCTTTGCTTTTTTAGACCTAGGTACTCAGAAGTCCACAAGGGCAAAAGGATGTCTTTTCTGCCTCATCCCTTAGAAGGCGCTGTCTTCCTTTCCCGTCCTGATTGCTGCCCTAACGTGTGAAGGATTCCACACAGCGCGAGCACTCTGTTCATTTGTTTGTGTCACTTAATCTTCAAGGGCAGCGGCTTCCTTAGTGTTGCTTGCTGGTACTCGCCCCAGTGCAAGGCTTAACAGTTGAAGTTCAGTAAATAATTAATCCAATGAGCAGATGAATTTTGAGAAGATTATTAAATTGCTAAGTTATCTGTAAATAGCTTACTAAGCATATTTGTTTAAATATGAACTATGATGATATTGCTGAAGGGTTATCTGGGGAAGAACTGGATAGCTTCCCCTCTGTGTTTAACTTATTTTAGAAAACACTAACTTTTCTTTCCGTCGGTAATGTCAAATAGGATAAATAGTCCTATTTCTTTTTCTGGTATTTCAAATGAATGTAATATTTGCAAGACCAGATAAAGACATGAATAGGGCTTGATACATGACATAATAATTGTCCTATTTCTGACCTAACAAAATGCCTCATCGCATTTTTAATGATATGCACTTAGACAAAGATCAGAAGGCCTAATTGAATTTTAACGTAATCTGAGATTAATTTTTACCTTTAGGGATTTATCATGCTCTATAGTTTCATTCAATCAATAATTAATATTGATATGTTTCCTCAACATCACCCATATATGCACAGGTGTGTATTATATATGTATACACATAGGTATGCATTTTTTATGTTGGTTTGTTATATGTATTTTTAAAGCAAATTTTAATTGAATTAAAATTATCGTATGCATTTTTTTGATGAACTTTATAACATCCTCTTGTGATAGCTAGGTGGCATCTTAGTATGTCTACAAATCAGTTATACAGACTGTAGATAGATAGGGGGCTTTTATAGGCATGAAAGATCTGGAGATATTTTTGTCACAGAGAGATTGAAATCTGTGTGCGTGCTTTTGATTGTCTGGCTTCAATTTACAGCCTCTCAAAAGAGACTATCAAAACATTTTATAATAACAGGAGCTTAAGAGAAACAAATATTTCTAACCTGGAATCTCAGATTTCAAATAACAGCATTACAAATTAAAATTAGCATTTTTATCTCTAGGACCTTTATTACATCATAAAGACCTAAGAGAAAATTATATGGAGAGGAGATTTTTTAAAGGCTGTAAACTAGAGGGTGGGGTGACAAGATTCAACCAAGAGCAGGTCTAAGGAGGCATCTAGTCAAGAACTGGATGACGTTTCTCTTTATTACTATGTTAGTATGTAAATACAACGCAGTATACAATTTTAATTTTTTAAATTTCAACCTCTCTAGTCAGTTCCTCTCTAAGCAAAATTTCAACAAGAGGTGTCTGGGCTTCCTCAAGTGGTGGGAAGAACACTTTCCTGTTTCCTGGGAAAGTGGGATTCCAGTTTTGATCTTGCCATCAAACTAAGTAAACTCATTCAGTCTTTTGTAGCTTAAAAGGCAAAATCTGGACCAGATGCTTTGTAACCTTTGCCACTTGCACATCCTGTGATCTATGACAGACTAGGTGGTCTGCATGGGGTCCAAGCTCGTCTATGTACCCGACTCAAACTGCAATTCTCTTCCTTTCCTGTGACCTATTTGAAGGACAGGACTGAGAATTCTACAGAGGGTTCAGGGAATTGGAGTGTAGGTATCTTGAGGGAGGGACTAGAAGGATGAAGAGTATGGAAGTTGAACTTAATTGACTGGAGAGATCATAATATTACCCATGCTATTCTGATTTCTCAGCGTAGTTGAAGAACGAAATAAAAACAAGTCAACCATTAACAGTTACCCTAAATTTAAGTCAATTGATTTACTCAGTGTGCTAATATCAGGGGCACCACAGCTCTTTGGAAAGTGTTTGTTAAACTAAGATTACTAATAACCCTGGTTTTGAAATATTTTTCCACATCTCTAGTTGTCTCAAGGAATGTCACAAAGCTCCCTAAAAAGGGAAACAAAGAAGTTTAAATGGCATTCTTGAGAAAATGAAAAATGTTGCTGAATTGTGAAGAAAAAATAAGAAATGATGTTGTAAATCTAAATCATTTGTTTATTACTAATATAAATTGTCTAAATCATGAGCCATATACGGCCCACTGCCCATTTTGGTAAATAAAATGTTATCGTAGCATAGCCTTGTTCGAGAATTTAAATATTGTTTGTGATTGATCTTCTGCTTCAAGAGCAGCATTGAGTAGTTACAGGCCTGAAAAGCCTAAAATATGTACTATTTAGCTCTTTGCAGGAGAATTTTTCCCATTCTTGGTTTAAATGAAGGTTAGACCAAGAACCAGGGAGATGATAAATGGTTTCTTGCTGAGTCAGCGTTAGAGCCAAAGCTACCAAGTCAACAGACAGCCTCGAGTCTTAGGTCTCAGTAGGATTTTTTCTTTTTTAAGTTTTTTGCCATAGAGCATGTGTGTCTACCAAAAGTTATAGAGAAAGACAATGAGAGGGGAAGTGATAAATCATTTCCAGGGGATGAGTGGGAAGTGGGTGATGGTGGCTATGCTTTCTCCCCCATCCTCCCCCTGGGATTTTGGGCACATGCACAACTGTGCCCAGTGTGTTTTTAAAGCCACTGGGTCCAGGACTTGAACTGTGGTCGGCCATGTGGTCGGCCAGTGCCATAACCACTACACCACCTGCTGGCCCCTTAGATTTAGGAGTTTAATCTGCAGAATACGACATGATATTCCGGGACCAGCAGTTAGCATAATGGCTATGTCGCTGGATCCCACGTAATCGACCATGGTTTGTGTCCCGGACCCAGTGGCTTAAAACTCACGCCGGGTGCATGCGCGTGCGTGCCCAAGATCTTGAGATGAGAAGGGAGGAGAAGGGATTGCAGCATGGCCATTCTCCCTGGGGGGTGATTTCTCACTTTCTGTCTCTCTGTCTGGCAAGCGCATGTGCCCTATAGCAAAAAAACAAAAACAAAAAACCTCTCCCCCCCCGCAAAAAAAAGGACATGATATTCCTGCTTCACGGACCCTTCCTAGCCCATCCCTGAAGTGAGGGCCTTTGCTTTCTTCTGGAGGACTGAAAGAATTCTATGTATATTTTACCATGGCCTGCCAGGCATTCACACGACCCTGCGCATTAAGACGAGCACGGGAAGGTTCCCAGTAATCTCCCCACCATGATTTTTTAAACGAGGAAGCTGTGATTTGCTTGTCTTCTATCTTTCCACTCTCTATGCCCAGTGGCATGGAACAGCCTGTAAGAGAAAAGTAAGGCAGTTAATTATGCACCACCAACATTCCTTGCATGGTATTTTGCATACAGGGGGGACAAGAAATATGGCGTCATCAGAAAAGTCATGACGTATTTTTCTATAAGTTTTTTGCCATAGAGCATGTGTGTCTACCCAAAGTTATAGAGAAAGACAATGAGAGGGAAAGTGATAAATCATTTCCAGGGGATGGGTGGGAAGTGGGTGATGGTGGCTATGCATTCTCCTCGTATTTTTCTAAAAATGCGTCATGACTTTTCCAACCCAATGATACTACCCTAAGTGACAACAGAAACAATAATCATGAAAATGAACACTTACTGAATCTGAGTGTGTCTGTATGTATGCATGCATGTATCTATGGATGGATGGGAGACACAGCTTAGGGTTACCAGCCACCTCAAAGACTCAAGTCCCACAACTCTCAAGGAGGGATGTGAGTTTAAATGTCCAGCACAGGGTATTTGGTGTCAGACGGTCTGAGCTGTAATTCAGTTTCTGATTCTTGGGGCTGTGTTACTTTAGGCAAGTGAATGTATTTTTGCTATGCTTTTGGCTTCTCATTTATAAAGTGGAGACCATGTTGTGTGTTAGATGTACATGTAAGCCCAAGAGCAGTATTTAGCTTTCTGTCTCACACACGTGCACTCTGGCATTCAAAATAAAAACGTCAGGGAAGAATAGTTGATAAAACTCTTAAACATTTCTGTTACATATAGTAGAATTTTATTAATATAATTTATGATTACCTGGATTATTTATAACAGAAGTTAGTTTATATCTCCCTGGAAACCCACCCTACATAAAGAAGACTTGAGTACCCATGAAGGGGTGTAGAGAACAGTCATGGCTTCAGGAAGTTGAGAGGCAGACTCAGATTTATTTATTTATGTATGTATGTATTTAGGTTTTTTCTACAGGGCGTGTGCTTGCCAGAGAAAGAGAGTGACTAAGAGAGAGGGAAAATAAGAAATTGCCCCCTCAGCGGTGATGGCTATGCTGATGGCTATGCTGCAATCCCTTCTCCATTCTCCTCTTACGACTTTGGGCACATGTGCATGAACACACACATGGTTAAAGTGATTTTCAGGTCGCCAGGTCCAAGGTTTGAACTGCAGAGTCAGCTATGTGGAATCCAGCACCTTAACCACCACACCCCATGCTGATTTTAGAAACATTCAGATTTTAGAAACATTCGCTGAACACCAAATATATACTAGATCCTATCATTCCAGCAAAGTCTGAGGACTTTGGAAGAGTAAAGCCAGTGTAACTCTTATGTAGTTCTTATTGAAAATAGAATGAGGGAAAGATGGAAGTCATTCCAAGCTAGGGCCCTAACTTGAATGGCCATATCAGGCACTGTTTGGTGAGGAGGTGCCTGCCCTCTGGCCAGTAGAATTAGTGTTGGCCTACATCACGCTGAGCGTGGAAGTTCTGTTTCACAACGGGTTTTCTAGGAGCTTAAGTCATTGAAGAGAGCTAAAAGTTCCACTCATTTCCTCACTCCCCTATGTCTTACTCTCTGAGTGGCAGTGAGAAAATGTGCATCTCTGTTGCTCACCATTCACCTCGCAGCCTTGCAGCTCCAGTCGAAGGGTCGGTCTGTTATAGAATCTAGTTGGAGAGATCCGAATGTATCTAGCCACAATTGGTGGGTCAAACTTATTTTCTCTTATAGAAGAGGCATCTGAATTGCCATCAAAATACTAGAAGAAAAGAAGAAAAGCTCAGTTATATAGCAAGTTTCTATAAAGTGATTTTATAATAAAAATTTGATCTAATTTAACATCATCGTATTGAGTTTTCATAGGACTGGAACCAGGTCAGTTTGGTCTTGAATTGGGCACTAGTCCACCCACACTGGTGCAGGCAGTGGGCTGCCACAGAGCGGTGCTGAGGCCATGGAGGAGGCCCCAGTTTGGGATCCCAAGTGAGCCTGAACTCACGGGCATGCCCATGTGTGCGCCTGTGATCCCAGCTGGGAGACAGGATTGCCACAGAATGAGATCCTGTCCAGGAGCCTGTCTGTCTCTGTATCACTCTCTCATTAAATAAATACTCTGAAAAGGCAAACCTCCACCCCTGGAAAGATGATGTAAATTTGCCCTATCCGTCCTGTCAAGTACTGCTAAATAGCTTGGATATTAGACATAGAAGAGACAAGAACACACTGAAAGGCGGAGAGAAGAAAGAAGATTGGCTGAGGTTCTTGGGGCCCTAGGAACGACATGGCATCCCTTGTCCCTAGGTCTTCTTTTTGTCTCATATACCTGAGACTTAAACCTGAAGAAGCCAGTACCCTGGAAACACCAGTGTGTATAGACAAAAAGCCCCAGTGAAACCAGGAAAGGGCAGCATAGCAAAAGAAAAATTTTAGACAGTAATTCTTCTGCTTCAGCTTAAGTACCATAAGAATAACTGTGACACCGCTGCAGTCCCCACCCCCAGCAGAAAAGCTGGGTGGGAAGCCTCGGCTTCTGCACTCCTGAGGCTAAAGAGATACCCCAGTACTCCCATCGAGGTTACATCTAAGAAGGCCGGATAAGTGCCCAGTATGTCCATCCCCTTCAGCCCTTAATGAATCTCCCATCCCCACCAAAGAGCATTGCCTTTGAAGGTGCCAACAGGGGCCTAGGGGAGAGCCCAGACATTGGCCTCTACCTGGCCGTCACCAGATTGTCCGCTCTCCCAGCCAGAGAACTGGCAGAAGTCGTCAGCTAAAACACAAGATGAGTGGACATCAGCAGGGTCAAAAACAGACAACAGAGAAAAAACAGTGAAATGAAGAACTGGTTTTTAAGAAGATTAAACAAATATTTAACAAATCGGTAGCAAGACTGGCAAAAAAGAGGAGATGCAAATGACAACATCAGAGATGCAACAGGCAATGCCACTAGAGTCCCCAAAGACATGAAAAGGATAAGGAAACACTACAAACAACTCCACACGCATAACCTTAAACGTTAGAAAAAATGGACCAATTTATTGAAAAATACAAAGAGTCCCAACTCACCCAGTGTGAAAGAGAGAATTTGAATAGCCTTGTAGCAATTAAGCTAGTTGAATCCATAATTTCAAAACTCCCCCAAAAAGAAATCTCCAGGCCCAGATAATTCTACTGGTTATCTCTACCAAATGTTTTCAGAATTAACACTGATTCTGTAGTCTCTCCCGGAATACAGAATAGAAGAGCATAGTTACCAATTTGTTTGGTGTAGCTAGTATTACTGGGATATCAAAGCCGGAAACAGTATAAAAATAAAGTACACACCCAATATTCTTCAAGCATATACATCCCCAAATCTTTCAACTATGGACTCAATGGTAATCTGTGTTTTCTTTCCTAATACCTGATTAACAAACAATTTAAGATTTTCATGATTTGTTCTAAGATTATTGCTTTAGTGTGTATGTGATTGAGAATTCATGTGATACAATTTGTTGTGATGGGATTAAGAAGGTGAAAGCTTAATCTGATCATGGTATTAAAGATGGGGCCTTTGGCCGGGAGATTAGGATTCAATAAAGCCACCAGGGTGACCCTTTATGATTGAATCCTCGTGGGCTTATGAGAG